AAATCAGAGAGGTGTCAGAAACAAAAGACAAAGGAGAGGCTCATCACATGTAATAGAGTCTTATCTACATCAACAAATCATGTTGTTATTTTCCAGATATGACGCATGAGGGGGTTAGGTAGCTAATAAAAACAAACACAGTCGAAGAATAAAGTGATAGTCGGAAATAGTTATTGAGTCGCGTCCATTTTTAAGAAACGTTAATTATTAATCCGTTAGCTCATTAGTTTGTTCCTTTCCTGAATGCTATTGATATTATACAATTTGATGATCGATGACATAAATTGTGATTGCAGTGTGTATAATATCACCTTTCATGAATCGAATGACTATGCTCTACTTAGTTTCGAGTTAATTGAAATAGAACTTTATGATAATTAACAAATATAATTAAACAAAAAAAGTGGCTGTAAAAGAAAGGGAGCATGTGATTGCATTTGCAATTATAATGAGAATATGGATGTTTGAGTGTTGATTACAACAAATACAATGAAAACAAAACATTATTAATTAGTAAAAGAATAAACGCCATCTGCCAGGAACGTGCTTTCTCCTGATTAAATGCATGCACATGCACATTCTTATTCTTCTAAGCTAACTTACGTATTAGATCAGATGTGTTTGGTAAGAATGGAAATATTTTTTTCAATATTTGATACGTAAGTAAGAAAATATTTATATATAATTTAAATACATATTATGAGAGGTAGAGATAGAGGTAAGGATATATAGGAGTGGTACAAATAAATTTATATGACGATAAAGTGTGTTGAAATTTGAAATGTGAAAATGGCATAATCAATGTAGAATATAACGTTATTGTGTAACTTATATTTTACTTTTCACTTAGAAAAAAAATTATTTACCTTATTTTAAAGAACTTTTTATTTTTCTAGAGATATTTTTTAAAAAAAAAAAATTGTTGAATTGAAAATGAAAAAATTATCCATAATGTTTTCCGCATTCCTTTTTAATTTATCTTCTGACTTTTGAGTATCTAGCTATCTCATCTTTTTATCTAAAAAAGTCATTTAAAACTTCATATTTTTACGGCACGACTTTATCACATCACATTAAAAATGGTGTAGCTAAGTTTTTTATTCATTTATTTTTTGGGCAAAGGCGTAGGATGTGTAAGTAAGAGTTGAATTGATAATAAAATAAAAGTGTTGACAATTTGAATAGGTAAGTATTCAAATGAAGAAAACGGTTTTTTTGTGTGTAACATGAGGACGGTTCAAGTATTTCGCCGTCAGATTCTTCTGAATTTAATAATTTATTTTTTATGCAAAATACAAAATTTAACATGAATATTCATGAAATTTTACCAATTACTATATATAAATTCATGATTTTCAAGTTCAACGAGTTTAATAATAAGGACCTAAATCCTTATAGGTCAAATTCAACAAAATAAAATCATGGAACTACCTTTGTTTTGTTGTATATGTACATACTCTTTAGAAATGCGCCATTTGTTCTTTTTTGGCCACTTATGATGTAAATTAATATTAAATTGGAATAGAAAACTTTATAAATTATTCCTATCATTTTACATAAGTTTAATAAAACAAGGTTATGAATATGTATATAAATAAATATTATGCCCAAGTCTAAAATGGTATGAAAAGATAATATTAAAGTATCGAAAAACACTCTTAAATTTGGTGTATTATTAGTTTCATTTTGAATTATTGACAACCTTAAAAACATCACTTTACTTGACTAACTAAACGTAGATACGCAACTGATTTCTATATGACATATATAGCAAGTAGTCTCAAACTCTTGTAGGAGCATGGAACTCTTAATAAAAAAGTAGAAAAAAATGTTGAACACTCATTTTATAAGATTGATAGTGTATTTAAATTCAGTTAGTCAAATAAAAATATGTTCTTAAGACTGTCAATAATTCAGGAATAAAACTAATAATTCAAACAGAATTAAATGAATATTCTCAATACTTCTCCCCAATTTTACTATAAAGCTACTTAAGCAATGATTTTTTATAAAATTTTAACTTTAATCTGTTAATCTTGCTGAGCCGACCTACCTATAGATAATAAAATTTAGAACAGGGTGGAGGCAAAAGCTTGTCATTTCCAACTGGACTTTCTTAAAAAAGAAGTCCTTTTATTTCTTTAGCTGAGCTATTAAAATAGGACTTAGGAATGAAGAATCCCATACTTACACTGTATTAGCACATGACCATCCCCCCACCCATGCCTACCCACCTACCTTTAACTAACACATTGTTTTCTTCTCTATTTCCTTTTTCTTTTTCTTTTTTTACTACTTTAAGCCAGAGATTGGGTTACCTACCTTCCAAACATGTCACATGTTCTTTCCCTCTTTTTAAATATTTTTTTGCCTTTTTGTTTAACTTATTTTGTTTCTAGAAGCACATTATAATATTGTGTTCAAGATAGTGACGGCGCCAAAATTTTCATTAAGAAAATTCAAATATATGAATAAGCAGAACCACAAAAAAGTCGAAGGATGTATAACTTTTAATTAGTACTATATATTCATAATTAACCATATAGAAAAAATGTACTCTTTCACAGAAGAAGGTTTCTCAATCTTAATTGAAGGAGGTCCGAAATTTACTATATATTCATAATTAACCATATATAAACAATATATTTTTTCGCAGAAAGATGTCCCTCGATCTTACCTGGCTCCGTCTCTTTTTCAAAGCTAACAACCACAACCAATAAAAGTAAGGGGGAGTTATATTTAGTTTCATTTGTTTGGATATTAAAAAAAGTAGAAAGAAGATTCCCTTATTTCCCACTCAATCCAAACAAAACTAAAATCTCACACAACCAACATAGTAATGTAATTATTATTATTATTCTCTTATAGTGAGTTAGTTGTGTTATTAGGTGGAGGAAAATCCGCCATTCTTTCTGGAACCTTAATATAAAGCAGTACTGGATTCCCAACAAACACATTACATATTTATTAATTAATATGTACTATATTTAAACAAACATTTGACAGCTTAACCATTGGCCAAACGCCACTTGATCCAATTCCAAATCATACTTTTAATCTTTTTATTAAATTCTTTTTCCATCGAACATCCATCTTTGCTTTTATGGCTTGAATTGTCTTCCTTGATACTAAATAACATTTAATTTTTAAAATTTAACATAGCATTTTAATATAAGAAAAGTTACAACTTTTTATTACTTATCATAAAGTTATAGAATATCGTATTAAGTTGATCTGATCTAATTTAATTTAACTTCAAACTTTTTACTTAAAAGAAATATGATAACTAATTTGGAATAAATGAGTGTATGTATTATTAGTACAATCTTTAGTTTACTTTGTATACTTCCATATATTTTAATAATACTTTTAATTTGCAACTTCATTTTAGTTCTATTTATTGAGACTTGTGTACCTACCCCCATTATTTTTGATAAAACATGGCACTAGTGCCTCCACCTTTTGAAACATTGAATTCTTGTAGACCAAATTTCACCATTCCACTAAAAAAAACAGCAGCACTAGATTATAATGTTGAAGAAACCTACCATTTAATTTGGGGTATTCAATGTTTTTCTAAGTACAAATTAAAGTAGTTGGATGAATAATATCAAACTAGCCATTTCGAGAAACAAAAAATAAATTGATAAGAATAAATGTTGGGTTCGAAAGTAGTTTTTCTATTTTTCAAACATGTACACTACATTAAAAATGATCTTAAGAAATAATTAATTAATGATAACAACTTAATTACGTCTTAATATGTAGTTTTAACGGTAATTAACTCTTTTTTTTAAATATCTTTAAAGCCTATGGTGACATTGAATTTATTGACAATTAACTAATGTTGATATTAACAGTACGATTTGTTATGTGTATTTTTATTATCGCTAAAGACATTTTTGTTATAGTGCATATAGTATTTATTAACTCAGCTGACTTTGTTGGCTCATAAATTTGTAGCCACTACCAGATCATTTACCAAACTTAAGTTTTATTAGATGTTCACATTTTAATTGCTTACTCAATTGTCCCTTTATAAATATGCTCAGTTGATAAAATTATGTGCTTTTTTATTAGTCAAAATTAGAATCTATCACTAGATGAATTCCTTCAGATAAGATTTGGTTGGGTCGAATCTTGTCAATTCCATACTCAAAAGTTTTTTTTTTTTAAAAATAAAAAATAAAAATAATAATAATAAAAATAATAAAAATAAAAATTGACTTTTGGAAAGAAGAAAAATAAACCATTCCTTGAATAATAATAATGATGCTATTATTATTTTCCAAAGTCAGATAGATAATTAGAATATAACTTTCAAATTGAACCACAGTATATTTGTGATTTCTCAGTTTTTTTCTAGCTTCTTTTTAAAATTATTTCTATAAGTTATATGAAAAAAATTAAATAATCTTGACTTTGTTACTTCGGAAAGTTTTCATCTTTTATATATGAGGAGAATAGAAGTAAACTGTGTGTGAAAAAGACACTTGTGATGAACTGGACCAAAGGAAAAAAAAATTAATTTGGCTTTATCCTCACGGAATTTAGGTGAAAAAATGTCTTTTGCCAAACCAGAAAGACAATTATTGTGATGGACACTACTACGTACGCAGAAAATACCTCACATGACCAAATATCTTGTTAGGTGAAATTTCTATACGATAATTGAAAAAGAAAGGAAACAACTCAATTATTATACGTTATGGAACCTTAAAAGCACAAATCAAAACGATAGGTTACTATTCGAGTTTTGAAAAGTTTTGACTCGATTATGCTATTTTATTATCTTATTTTTCTTACAAGGCTGCATTGAATACATTTTTGGACAACAGGTGCATTTTTTTTATCACAATATTAACATGAGAGATTTTTTTCGAAAATATTAACGAAAGACATTTTATTGAATTTCAAATAATTTAAAAGCATTTTTGACTCTTTTTCGTATTTTAAATTAACAACAATATATGGATTTAAAATTAAGAGAGAAATTAAATAGACTAAAATTGGAAAATTAAATACATATTCCAATTCATACCATGGTAAGTTGTTGCAACAAATGTACTACAAAGGTTTGTGAGTAGATGATTACAATTAGAAGGCAAAAAATGCAAAAGAAAAAAAAATTAATATCTAAACCTAAAACCCAAAACCCAAAACCCAAAATATTCACTTATCACAAAATGGTAAAGTAATATTTAAGAAAAAAAAAATTAATACTAAGGTACTTAAATAATATCCAAAAAAGCCAGGTCAGCAATATCTGTAAAATCCATTTGTGTTTTTGCATTTGCCACACCACTGACCACCACCACCTTGATATCCAATTTGCCAACACAAACAAACCGTTTTCGCCACCGTCTCTGCCGCGGGTACCGCCCCGGTTGGCGGCGGTGCTACGGTGGTCAAGAAGTTGTATGAGGCCGTTGACTCTGGTGATGAAATATGATGACTATGTAATGGCAACCCAATAGAAAGTTCAAGATTTATCATAACTTGTGAGGGTATTTTCGGAATAATAATTTCTAGTGGCTTTGTTTCCTCAGTAGTACCACTGTTGCATTTTGTTTCATCATATGACGACGACGTGGCAATCATAATATTGGGTTGATTTTGGTCAACGTTGTTTGTGAAATCCATGTTGATGTTTTTGGTTGTGGGGGTGGTGGTTGTGACTGCGGTGGTGATGGTGGTGGTGTGGGAGTTAGTGGCGGTGGTGTTGAGTGGACGGTGAGTTTGAGGATCAATGCCACGACTGATGAGTTTTCGTTTAATATGTGTATTCCAATAGTTCTTGATTTCGTTATCAGTTCTTCCAGGTAATCTTCCAGCTATAACTGACCATCTGCAGAGAAAATATTCTATTAGAAAATGTAGAATAAAAAGAAAAGAAGGAAATATAAATCAGTTACATTTATAGTTGGAGAATATCAACAAAAAATAAATTTTGTTTTGAGCTAAAGTTTTCAAATACTTGTTTTGTAAGAAACTTTTAACCCATTGTTTTTTTAAAAAAAATTGACTATAGAAATAGCACTAACTGATCACTTTTTGACCATATTCAAAAGAAAAGGAGCTATTGTCTTGAATTTTTAGTTGCACTGAAAAATGACTATTTGTGAATTTTGACCTGATTTAACAACTTTCAACCTTTTTGCCAATCACAAAATATTTCAAATTAGTTCAAAATAAAGCTTTGATTTAATTTTTGAATTTCTTTTTGTTTTTTAATAATTAAAAAGGACTTTAGAATCTAAAGATTTTATAGGTTTGGTATTTCAAGAAACAGAGAAGTCTTTCCCACTTGTTGAAAAAATTTACTACTACAACCACTTTTTCCTCTAGAACATTTTAGGTCTTCTTTTATAACTTCTTAATGTGGTCCCAAATTAGCCAAACAAAAAAAAAATTTGACTTTTTATTCCAATTTTCACACATTTTATGATACTAGGAGTACATAACTTATAATAAGTAAAACCAAAAAATAAATTAAAATAGCAACAAAAAAAACAAAGATCATATACATACTTGTTTCCAAGCAAACTATGAAGTTTGATTATCAATTCATCTTCTTCTTCAGTAAAATTCCCTCTTTTGAGATCAGGCCTTAAATAATTTATCCATCTCAATCTGCAACTCTTTCCACATCTTGACAATCCTAAAATATTAAAAAAAATCATGAAAAAATTAAATATTTCACAAAAAGAAAAAAAAAAGTCTCAAATCTTTGGATCTTTTATCTACATCCATAATTATTTTTTGATGTTGTTGTGGCAGCAGATCCAAAAATTATTAGATCCTCTTAATTCCGGAATTTAAATTTAATATGTTTAATTTTCACTACTATGTTTAGAGAGCGAGAGATAAAAAAAAAACATATAATATATACAGTATAATTTTTCGATAATAAATACCTGCAGCTTTAGGGAGAGAACGCCAACAACCTTCACCATGAGCACGTATATAATTGATGAGGCGTTGGTCTTCTTCTTTAGTCCATGCTCCTTTATTTGTATGTGCTTTTTCACAACAAGGTGAACGTCCCATGCTTTGAATTTTTCGTCTTTTGAGTATTCAAGGATTTGAGTTTTTGGTACTGATAGAGAAAAATCAAAGAGTTTGATAGTAGAGTCCTAGTTTCTCTTTCACTAGTTTATTTTTTGTTGTTGTTGATAAGACTAAAACTGTTGGGTACTTGTAGTCTAGTTTTTTTTTTTCTTTTTTTCTCTCTAATGGAGATGGGAGAAAAAAGGGGAATAGAAAGATATATATCTTGAGGGTGTGAGTGGGGTAGGCTTAAAAAGTGTTAGGTAGGAGGTGTGGGGTAAAGCTTTTAATTTACTTATTGGAAGAGACTTTGGAACTATTCCCTTTTGTTAAATGGATGGGTTTTTCTTTTTTAGATTTTTCTTGGAGTTGGGGGTGGTAGGGGGAGGCCAACAACAAGTAACAACCATTTAAAATTGTTAGGACTGATCATCAAAGAATGTAATACAGTACCAAAAAAATTATTAGTAGAGAGCGTTTTCTTTGAATTGGCCCCCTAAGTGATGTAAATTCTAAATAATCAAATTTTAATGCGGTTATCGAGCACTGTCTAAGAAACCTATATTTTTTTGTAAGGATTCGTTTGGTTAGAGTTAAGTTACCTCGTAATTAATTATCTTAATTAAATAAGGAATAAATTCATTTTAAAATTAAACATGAGATTATTTGTTTACTTATCCTTCATACTAAACAAATTGAAGTGTAGAATATCGTTGAATTTAGTAAGGGTCTATCATAAATAAATTTCTACACCACAAAGATAAGAAAATCGGTATTTAATATACATTTTCAAATTTTACTTGTGAGATGATATATATATATTTGCTTTTTGTGTGTTTTAAGAAAAACTATTATTATGAATATTACAAATTTATGTTGAATGCATTGATAATGTAGAGAATTTTTACTAAATAGACCAATAATGGTACATGGTTTCAAAAGGACTTATTATAATACATGATCTTTTATATCAAGTCTATTTGATAATCTTAAATAAAATAAAATATTTCTTTTGTTCTAATTTATGCAGTAATATTTGCTAATGTGATGAGAGAAAAAAAATATTTGAGACTTGTGATCTATAACAAATCATTGATATTTGTGACTATAATCATCTTACTTCATAAAAAATATGAGAATTTTTTAAAGTTAAATTATTATTAAATATTTTTTAAAATAGATTTTTTTTAAAAAAAATAAAGTGTTAATAGAAAGAAATAATAATACTAATTAAATTTATATTAACATCTCAAGTATTATTATTATTATTATAAATAAATAATTTATATTAATAATATTAAAGTTTATTCATGTAGATAAATAAATATAGATTACTTGAAGTTTACATATACATCCTCCACTAGGAAAGTGAAGAAAATGATGATATTGGTAAGGAAGGAAAACAAGCACATTAACGATTTTAGCGGAGCGGATGAGTTTGTTTCTTTTTTAATTAAAGTTTCATTTAAATTTTGACTATGAATTTTTTTTTTTTTTATATAAGAAACATTTACCCTAAAATAAAATTCTACACAATACATATTTTGATTAATCAAACTTTAATACGAATACCGCATATCATATTTTTAAACAAAAGGGAGAGAAAGGAGATTGGATTTGGTAGGTAGATTTTCTTTTATGATGAGTTGTCCTTGTGGGTCTCCTCTCTCTTACTATCTCCTCTTTTATTTATTTATACCACTTGCACATTATCACTTGCCACGTGGACCGTACAAGTGGTAGTTTGGAGTTGGCCCACTAAAGATATTCACCAATTTCAAAATAAATCAGAATATTATTTTGCGATAAATTTGAATTTTGTGATCTTAAAATAAAATATGTTAAATTTATTAAAAGTGATAATTTTAAAAATGAATTGAAGAGAAAAGTAAATAAATAAATATAAATAAAATGAATATCTTTTTAAGGAATGTGTAAAGAAAGAAAGGCAAGTCTTCTGAGACGGCAAAAATAATACCTATCAACTTAACTATATTTTGTTGTACAATTTTTCTTCTTCTCTACTATTTTTATTCAACGTTCGAAATTTATGCAGATTAATTTGAATTCGCACAAATTCTTTATTAAAGAGGAATAAAACGTTTTTGAGGAGGTCACCATTATGTTTGAGCATTTATTCTAGTTTTTAACTCTGGTTCTAAGTACTTGATCTTTACTGTACTATATAGTTTTTCCATTTTTTTATACTTACAGAGAAAGAGGAAAATCGACATCACTAATCAAGAAACTATAGTGATTTGAACTTGTAATGCGATGATTTGAATGATAACATATAAATTAAGTGAAACTTTAAGTTTTTTTTTTTTAATATGATAGCACATCATACTTGTGTCTAGGGGTGTTCATGGTTTGGATAAAAACCGATCCAAACCGAAAAACCAAACCAAACCGATTAAATGAATCGATTTAATTTGGGTTTTGTTTTGGTTTGGTTTTGTTTTAGATTGTTAAGAACCGATAGTATTTGGTTTGGTTATGGTTTTGTTTGAAAAAAATCGAAGAAATAACCGAATCGAATCGAACCGAACCAACAAGTTATATACATAAATTTTATTGTTATGCATACATAATATATTATATTCATAAACAATTTTAAAGATTTTATATATGTTTCATCAAAATTTATTTATAATTTACTTATGAAAGAAAAAATGTCCAAGGTGAGAACATTTTTCTTATTGATTTCATGTATATGAGTGTCTATGGAAATTCTTTGTGGGACTGAAAATGTCATTGTCTCTTCCTTCTATGCCAAAATAGTGAATTTTGAAGTTTTATTCAGTAAATTCAATGATCGAAAGTTCTGTAATGCCAGTCATTCTAACTATTTTTTTGTTTGAATGGATTGTTGTCACTTTTTTTTACGTTTTGAATGAATTGTTCCTTTTATTTTTATGTATGGTTAATAACCGAATAACCGAACCAAACCAAACCAAAACCGAAAACAACCAAACCGATAAATGTATATTATATTTGGTTTGGTTTGGTTTTGATAATTTTAAAACCGATTAAGTTGGTTTGGTTTTGGTTTTGACCAATAACCGACCCAAACCAAACCGTGAACACCCCTATTTGTGTCTATGAATTTTTGTTACTATTTATTGTTTTTATACCTCAGTTATTATATTGTTTTGTTGTAGTTTTCGTTCTGTTACTAGCTGCAATTTTTGTAACTGCTTGTTGTTTTTTATACTTTCGTTACTACTTTGGACCTTTTTTTTCATGTCAAGGTATGCATACACTCTACACTTTTCACACTTCATTTGCGAAACTATACTAAATATGTTACTGTTGTTGATAGCATATTATAATTTAATAAAAATATACTATTACTTAGCACCCTATGATATGGAAGTGCCCAATTTATCCTGGCCTCCTCTTAATTCATAAGTTTGGTTTCTCCTTATAATAAATAAACAAGAGAGGAATATAAAGAGAAGAAAATAATTTGGAATATATTAGAAACCGTGTTCTCAAATTTAATTTTTGACTGATACAATTGTAGATACCGTAAAGAGAGTTTGATACGAAATTTTCTATATACTTAATATTATTAAGGCAATTTAATTTCTCAAAAGTTTGTTCAATTTATATTAAAAGAATAAGGGAAAAGGGTCTGAAAAATGCTCATACTTTGATCGAAATTGTTGTTACGATATCAAACTTTATGGAGTACTTTTTACCACTGTACTATTTAATAGTGCATTTTAAAGGTATATATGTGCCCACGTGGACACGTTCCTATTTATAATGATGAAATATTTATGATGTCCACGTGGGCACATATATACCTTTAAAATACACTATTGAATAGTGTAGGGGTAAAAGGTCCTCCATAAAGTTTGGTATCGTAACAACAATTTCGGTCAAAGTTGAAGTATTTTTCAGACCCTTTTCCTATAATTACTATGGAATTTCAAATGGGAAAATTATACAAAATGTCAATTCAGCCATTTGAATCACCAAAAACTTAGCCAAATTTTCAAAATTATTGAAATTGGTCAAAATCATCTTCTTCTTTCTTTCTATTTCACCATTAATGGCTTCTAACCTCCTCCTTCTTCCTTCCAATTTCGCTATTAATGGCTTCTTTTCCTTCTTCCTTCCAATTTCGCTAAAGGACTTCATATCTAAAATTTGGGATTATTTAGAGGTGATTTTGAGTTGATCGAGATTGAATAGTTAGCGTATATTTCGTATATAGTTAAACTATATTTAACTTTTTGAGCATATCATAATGTATAATCAATGTATAACTTATGTATATGTGAGATATATTATACAGTTAGTGTATACTTTCTATGACCTTTGACAAGTTATATTACATAGTTAAGGTATACATTCTACAATTTTTGGCTATTTTTAATGTAATTAAAAACATAACTATATTTATTATATATATATATATATATATTTGAAATTAGCCTATTCCAAATTGAATGTTTGAATGTGATAGTTGCCAGTTAGTACTAGCGTTTGGCAAAGAACTGTCAAGTTAAACTTGATCGGCCCAACTAACAGTTGTTCTACGGGCTTTATTATACAGGCTTCGCCTCACAAGCCCAATCTAGTGCCCTACAACTAGGGGTGTTCATATGTTGATCCGAGTCGATCATTGATCAAAATTGAAGTCAATTTAAATTTAATTAGTTTTTAAATTATTGAAATTAAATTACTTATAACATGCATTTATCGATTTTTGATTTGTTTATTAATCATACATGAAAATAAATCAAAAGATAAAGTGGAAATAGAAAAAACAAATATTTTTTTTGGCTAGTAAGATTATACATCATATATAATTACGGAGTTACACAGTTATGAGGCCTAGTGGCCTCTACATTATCGCCATAATTAGCGATTACAACTAAATTACCAAAACAGGCTAACTTATTACAAGTAGTCCTTAAAACTAGTTTAGTAGATATCACTCCTTGTTGGTCAGCCTTGATCAGAGTCATAGGCATGATCTGGAGGAGTAGACATTATATTTCGCTGGACTTTTTGTATGAGACTTTCTTTCATAAATAAATTATAAACAAATTTTGATGAAAACATATAGATATTTAATATTATTTATAAAAAATAACATATTATGCATATATAGCTATAAGAAATAGGTATATAATTTTTCGGTTTAGATTTACTTATTTCTTTGATTTTATTTGTTGAACAAAATCAAAATCAAATAAAATATTATTGATTTTAAAAAAATGTAAAATC